TGAGCCGGTGAATCTGTCTAACGTGCCCGAGGAGTACCTTGACCTGAAGGAAGTGTTCAGTAAGTCCCGGGCTGCTTCTCTTCCTCCGCATCGTCCCTATGACTGTGCCATAGATCTAGTGCCAGGTACGTCTCCGCCTAAGGGCAAGTTATATTCGCTTTCTGTTCCAGAAAGGGAGGTCATGAAGAAATATATTTCTGATTCTCTAGCAGCCGGGCTCATCCGCCCCTCCTCTTCTCCCGCTGGGGCAGGGGTTTTTTTTGTGGTCAAGAAGGACGGTTCTCTGCGACCATGCATCGATTGCCGGGGGCTGAACGACATCACGGTAAAGAATACTTACCCTTTGCCGTTGATGTCGTCAGCTTTCGAGCGGTTGCAGGGGGCGTCCATCTTTTCCAAGCTAGATTTGCGTAATGCTTATCATTTGGTCCGCATAAGGGAGGGGGATGAGTGGAAAACCGCGTTTAATACCCCCAGAGGGCACTTTGAATATCTTGTTATGCCCTTCGGGTTATCCAACTCCCCCACGGTTTTTCCAAGCACTCGTTAATGACGTGCTGAGAGACATGGTCGATCAATTCATATATGTCTACCTGGATGACATATTGATATTCTCCTCTGACTGCCTTGACCTCCACTAAGACTACGTTCAGGTGGTCTAGTGCAGCCGAAGCTGCATTTATCAACCTCAAGAGCCGCTTTGTTTCGGCTCCTATTCTCGTAACCCCTGACTCCACACGTCAGTTCGTGGTGGAGGTCGATGCGTCAGAGGTGGGGGTAGGTGCGGTGCTATCCCAGCGCTCTTCCTCAGATGACAAGATGCATCCTTGTGCGTTTTTCTCTCATCGTTTATCACTTGCCGAACGTAACTATGACATTGGTAACCGAGAGTTGTTGGCGGTCAAGTTAGCGCTGGAAGAGTGGCGTCATGGGTAACGCCTCCACCCGGTTGCCCACCGAGTCGATTATTTGTGCCGGAGAGGTTACAGTCCAACGTCGTTCGGTGGGGTCATTGTTCCAGCGTGGCTTGTCATCCAGGGGTGAATCGGACTAGTTTCCTCGTAAAACAGCGATTCTGGTGGCCTTCTATGTCCTCCCACCCTCCCAGTGCAATACAGTTGTATTGACCGTAGTGGACCGTTTCTCGAAGGCGGCCCATTTTATTCCCTTGCCCAAATTATCCTCAGCCTTGGAACTCAATGTCATAACTGCGCATAATTTGACCCAAGGGTAACATGTAGATAGTAAACAGAAGGGGACCCAAAATAGATCCCTGAGGGACCCCACAAAATAAAGGAGCATGAGAAGAGGAGGCATCTCCAAGCACTATGGAAAAAGACCTAGGCTATTCGACAAATTAGAAATAAACCAATCCAGAGCTACATCTCTGATACCAACATACGTTTTTCAACGGTTGATCAAGACATTATGGTCCACTGTGTCAAAGGCTGAGCTAAGATCAAGGATAAGATAAGGATTAAAACGGAGTACAAGCCAGCATCAGCTGGAAGCAGTAGGTCATTAGCAACCTTAACCAAAGCAGTTTCAGTGCTATGTTGGGAGCGGAAATCAGACTGAAAATTTTCAAAGATTAAATTATTATTCATATACGAAATCAGTTGCATTGACACAACTTTTTCTAAGATCTTTGATAGAAATGGAAGCTTAGAAATAGGTCTAAAATTACTTAAATTGGAGGGGTCTAGAGAAGCCTTCTTTAATAATAGATAAATAGTGGCATGTTTAAAACATGCAGGAAAAATGCCGGAAGACAAAGAACAGTTAATAATAGCTAAAATATCTGGACCAACCGTGTGAAATACAGCTTTTAAAAACCAAGTAGGAAGGCA